GTCCTGCGGTTGCGGCGGCGGATGTTGGTGGTCGGTGAAGTGACTGAAGGAGAGGTCCTGAGAGAGGTGGTCGTGATGAAACGCCATCGTTTCGATCAGCCCTCTCCTTTGTTACCTTTTTTTTTTGTTGGGATTTTTAATTTTTTTTTTCTTCCAAAATTATTTCTGTGAGAGGGAAAGATAAGAGAGAGAGAAGGGGGGAACCTCTGCTATGACGATTCTTTCATCTTCCAATTATCAATACGCAGATTTTTTTTTTTCTAGGAAAAATAAGGTTTTTAGGTATGTCTGTGTCTGCGCAGAGAAGAGAGCCGAGAGATCGAGAGAGACGTAAGGACCATTTTATGCCGATTTTTCTTTTTCCTTTTTTTTTCTAATTTATATATTTTTTTTATAACCACGATTCTCGAGCCCTTCGACCCGACTACATCCACTCTAGACCCGGGACCAACCTTTGTATATGGACCATTTTAATCCAGAAATTACATCTTTTTCACCAGTGAAATCGAACTCATTACCTCGAAGATGACTTTTGTCATCTCTTAGCTACTGGACTACCAAATGTTGGGTTCTAATTTATATTTGCAAATTACGATATAGAGCTATAATTCTACCGCTTCTTTTTAATATTTACAGGTTGAGTTTAGTGATAATAACTAACATGTGAAAACACTGAAAAGTGTTTTTGTTCATCTTACATTTTTTTTTAAAAAAATCTATAACAAATGGAAGGTATTTTTATTTTTACCATTGACTTAAATCCTGTTTTTTGGGGTTCTAAACCATTGTGACAGTGATAATGCATTTAGATTTCCAAGCCATAATCAAATATTTAATTTTCAGTAATCTACAAAAAAAAAAAAGATGTATAATCGCTGCTGATCTCTTTCTTGGCCATATATCTATCAATGGACTGGAGCAACTAAAATACAAATTTATTTACCAAGTTTTGTATGTATAATAGATTTTAATGTTCCAAAATTTTCTGTGGAGTTTCTGTAAACATGTATCATTAATCCCCTTTTTGGCAGAATATTTTAATTTCTGTTTTTTTCATAAATAAATAAAAAAACATTTAAGAAAAAAGGCAAACGTATAAGGGAGGTATTCAGTGGTCCACACCGAGTTCGGTCATCCACAAGAAGCAAACAAAAAAAAAATGAATAAAATAAAAGAGTAGGTCGGCGTGGACCAATCTGAATCGTCCATTCACGGGTGGCGACTGATTCATTGAGATCGGACGGTGGAAGCAAAGGTCGTTGCTCCACAGTGTTATTTTAAAATAAAACGAGTAGTTGCCACGTGTTTGGAGAAACGCGTGCTCCTCACGCGCGGAGTTGGAACATGGAATTCAAATGTTACATGTAACCAAACAGTAATAAACCAACAGGCGAATCTATGTTTCGATGACGAGGGGGATGTTCTTCTTTCCTTGCTCCCACTACCACTAGACGACAAAAGACCTACACTTTATGTGTGTATATATAGAATTATACTGTCGTATTTATTTAGTGAGAGTTTAAGATAAATGAAAGCAATAATAGGTGACACGTATCACTATTTTTTATGCCTTACTTTTTACCGTACGATGGGTTTACATTTGAGTGCTAGTATATTAGTAATTAGTTGAATACAAAAATTAAGATATATGTAATTTTGTTATTTAGATTTTGATTAGAATTTAGCATGATATTTGCATTTATTATTATCAATTTGATATAAAAATATCAAAGGCATTTTACTAATTTTGAGAAGATATCAATTTTTTTCAATTTGAAATTCTAAATGCTTATGGGAACAGTGATAGAATAATGAAAGCGAAATGAGAGGGTTTTTTTTTCTTTATAATCGTATTATATTTTTGACACTCTGTATTGAAAAGTCATATATGTCAAAATAGGACCGATTATATCTTGGAAAAAAAGAGCAAAATATGATAAGAAAATGTTGTTTTTTTTCCTAGATCGTTTATCAGATCTTACTAAAAAAAATATGAGGCTCCGTACTGTTCAAATGAAAAAAGATAGGATTTTTAATAATGTTTTTTTAAATATTAGGTTTTAATTTTTAGCAAAAGTTTTGAATTCAACATATATGGTTTTTTAAACTATTTTAATATATTTCCGTATTAAATAAAAAATAAAATAACGAAAACAACATTCGATTCACGAAATTAAAATTCTTTGTAAAAAGACCAAATATATGTTAATTTGTTTATATATTCGCTTGTTAATACTTATACCAACGTGAAACCATGCATAATAACATGTAATTTATATAAAAAAAAGTATATATATTGGAATTGGATCATGTATTATCAACAATATTTAATAAAAAAGAACCCTCGTCAAAAGTGTCGACCAATCATTGTATAAAACCCGTTTATTTATTTATTCGAATATAATTATATATAAAACCAAACCTTACTTACTCCCCCCCCCCCCAAAAAAAAAAAAAAAACATTCCTCTCACCTTACACTCATTCCCCTTCCCATGCATAGATATGTATATATATAGTGTGCGAAAAAGAAACCTTACACGTAAACTTACTCAGGGAAAGCCAAGGTTGTCCTTAGACACGTGTGGAACTTTCAATCGAGCGCGAACATATGGTCCATGACGAAAATAAACACATATTATATGCAAAGGAAACGGATCATAGAACTAAAAAAATCTTTATCAAGTGATAATTAATTTCGTTGGACGATCAGTGGTTATTAATTTCAAAATTTATAAATGCAAAGGATAGAACTATGGATGGGTTTCCAATATTTAAACGGAATATTATCCTAACAAGTGAAAAACAATTAGGTTTAATTAATGATTTGGGGTTATACCGAATGGATTATGACGTGTATAAATTAACAAAATCACATATAATTAGCAAAAACCCCCCCAAAAAAGGTAAAAGGGACGTGATACGTAGGAACCCCGTAAAGCTTGGAGCGTGCTTTCCACGTCACTCCAAGGAGCGTGACGAAGTCACCGCCTCAATCCAACAAAATCCGCCCCTACATCGCTCTATTTTCCGATTGCAACCAATTAAACACATGCTATATTTAAAAAAAAAAAAAAAGTGACAAGAGAGAGAAGACCTGCGCAAAGAAGACACAAATTATGTACGTATATTTATAATTAAAGGAAGAAAATACGCTCGACATTTGGATTTATAATTAATATTTATGGTTTTTCGGTAACTATGTATAAATAAAAGTAAGAATCCGGGTTATGGTGGAGATAACCGGTTACAGTTAACCGGGAAGAACCGATAAGAGTGGGAAAGGAAAGAAAGCAGAGGAGGGGGACCATAAATCACGTCGTTACTCGCGGCCAGAGAACACGCGTCGCTACGACGTCTTCTGGACCACAAAGTGTGGTCCCCATATTGGCATTCGCTCGGGATAAGAGAATCCCAGCCGTACATTTGGATTGATGCAACCCCGATTAAATAAAAAAATTATAAAACGTTTTTTTTTACATATTAGAATAAATTAGGGAAAAAAATGTGGGGACCAATCCTAGAATTTTGACTTAGTCTGACAGCCGCCGGCTTAATCAAAGCAAAAGGACAGATTTAACCCCCGCAATAATATAACTAAAAAAATAAAATAAGAAAAATGGGACCCACAGAGGCGCGTGGGTACCACTCGTCGTGGTGATTAAATGCAGGACTGTTCACCTATTGCCTAATGGTCCCCTACCTACCCGGCCCTCTATTTCCAGAAATTTCTTTGTAAATTAATATTAAATCTCAATTTCAATGTAATTTAAACAGCAAAAAACTATAACCATGGATGCGGCTTAGGGGTGTCAAATTTTACAGGTCGGCTTTTCCCAAACCAAAACATATACGGTTATAAAATTTTTGGTCCGAAACATGGTTTTACGGGCTTCTATATGAGCTTGAGCTGAATTTCTTGAATATTCGAAAAATTTTAAATTTATAAATGATAAACAGTAACAAAATTAAAGATTACCAAAATATAAAATTTTTAACACATATCCGACATTACAAAAAAAAAAACAAAAAATTGATAACAAAATTCATTCATACTATATCTTGATTTAAAGAAAATTAAAAATCGGATTCTCTAAATTTAATATGATAATAAAGTTTATTTAGATATTACATTTTTCTATTATCCGAATAATTATTTGAAATTAAAGACATTATAATTTTGTCTTTAATTTCAAATAATTATAATATAGTGTCTATTAAAATACATCCAAAATTATTCAATATTAAATATTTTTCAATTTTTTTATAATTCTCTATATTACATAAATTTTTCTAATATTTTTTTATTAAAATTTGAAATATACTTAAATATATAATAAATAATATATGTATACATATATATGATTTACGCCGTAATTTTTATAGATTGGACTAACCCAATCCATAGATAACCACACTTTAAATTTACAAACCTAAATCTTTAAATTTATCGAATGGCTTCAGATTAGAGAATGAGGCTTTGATCTTTTTGCCACTCCAATGTAGCTATATCAATCAAAAGTACTTTTTATAATATTATAAATTTCATTTTTAATTAATTAACTACTATCATATGAAAAAAATATATTGTTAAATGGATGAATTTATTAACATCTATAAAATTTCATCAATGTATTGTTATTAAACAATGATTAGAAAATTTATCTTTTTAAAATAATTTTTATACTTCAATTTTTATGAAAAGTTATATATTTTAAGATTATTTTCAGTATTTAAATTTATATCTTTTAGTTATGTATAATCATTTCACCTCTATATAATTATAAAAAAGAGATATAATTAAAAAGTTTTAAAAGAATCAAAACATAGTACGCCGATCGAGTAAGTTTTCGATAATTTAATGATATTTTAAATAAAATAAATTTTAAAAGGAGATATTATTTTTGTAACGCCCTTGGAGAAATGGCGTGATATTTGAGAAATCATCTTTTCTCTCCATTTCAAGAAATGCATTGCTTTAATGTGACATTTGGTGGTCCATTATCCTTTTTTCCCCGTATTCATTTATTGTTTGCATTATCTCCATTTTATTTTGCTTTTTATGTAAATATTTTTTCGATTGTTACAAATATTTATTAACGGACATAATTCCCGAAAAATGTAGTTTAAATTGAAACAACAATTTAAATTATTAGGTCAATAATATTATTCTAATCTAATGATTTTGGTAATATAAATGTCGATGTTCTATTTATTTCAAGATTCATACACGTTTAGTTTTAAACGCATATACTTAATTATAATCCAAATTAATATTCCATATCCGATTTCATTAAAAGGAAAAAAAATATATGCGATGTAATTTTGTTAGCACACCGTGAAAGTAGAAGGAACAGGGAAGAGCG